CAGGCGTGGGTCATTCACAGAAAAAGCTAAACTTATCCGAGGGTTTTAGCTGGAATCAGTGGTCTGAAGGCAGAGCGGAAGTTGAGGTCTGGATATCCAATGGGCAGAAGTATCGTCTTGGGCAAGGTAAACTACAAGGAATCTGTGTTCATGAGGTGGGTCAGGAACAGAGCAGAAACAAAAATGCTGGATACTTTGGGCACAATGCAATTAGACAATCTGACAGGGAGGCAGAGACTGGGGAGCGCTTAAGAAGCGCAGCGCACAGGTGTAGCAGGAGAGAGAATTGGGGGCGCACTGGCCATCAGGAGCACTGGGACATTTCTCGGTGGCCTGGCCCTCTCAGTGTTCACTGAGGGGGACTAAAGGCTCAGTTCGGGTTACACTTGATTATTTTAAATAAACAATCCATGCCACTTGTGCGACTCACTCCATCAATCAGCCAATCATGTGTTGTGTACAATCTTACGTTGAAAACCCGCAAAAGAGTGAGTCTGCAAAAGTCGAACCGCCAAGTATCGAGGGAAAAGATATCTAGGGAAAATTTAGAAAGTTTTTAGTATCAAATTATTATTTGACCAGTTTTCTTCATGCTCAGATTAAAGACTAATTTGACAATTTAAGCATTATATGTTCTAATTTTTGCTGCTTGAGTTAGTGAGCCATCCTCATGTGGTTCAGTCCTTTAAGAGCTGTGCATCCTGAGAACCACTCCTGGTTTTGAATATTTGTGATTCAGTTCTGCGGGTGGGTTAAGTGTTATTCCTCCTCCACGTCCTTTTGGCTGTGACCTAGGTAGACTGCAATTGTGCTTGGGCCCAGGTTAATGAGTGGATTTGCTGCACTGCAGTGCACCGTCCCGCCATGCTGATGTGGAGCAGCTGAGCACCACAGTGGTCCCACTCTGCTGCAGAGCAATAAATCACCCACAGTCACACCAGGCCTGATCTGAACAGCCACCGCTGGGGATGGACAAGCACACTGAGGGTGTGGCGGTGGAAAAAACTGAAGGAAGAAAGCAGTGCAGAGTGTGAGCCCAGCATTGTGTTCACCTTTAAAAAAAACTTTAACATGTGCTTCCTTAAAGCAGTTTCTCTCTTCTCCATCAGTGCCAGTGTAACCACTATTCACATCCTCTCAACCTCCAGCCCCTCCCCAGCTGCTCTCTCTAATTGCCTTTATTAACGTCTCTATGGGAGCAGCAACTCGAAGCAATTTGCTCATTATTTGCTGTATTAGCACTGGCCCTGGGGCAGGCATGAAGCACAGAGGGATGCCTATCTGAAAAACCTGCTCCCCTCTGCTGCACTCTGCCTTCACCAGGACCCCCGCCTCCACATCCAAGTCATCCATAGACTTGGATTGAACTACCACCAGAGCCAGGTGTGCCTCTACTGTCACTGTTAAAGCAGTGGTTCATGTGTTTGGCTTTTTACTTAAAGAAATTATGATTATTGTAGATTCTAAATTTAAGTGAGACAAATTACCCCCCCCCCCTCCAAATGAAATAATAAAATAAAATAAAATAAATAATTTGAATTGCTGACCATTCATTCATTCAACCTTTATTTAGACAGGTTCATCCCAATGAGCCTCGAGGATTCATTTACAAGAGAGACCTGATTTCAACAAAGAATGACGACAACAATGGACAACAGCAACAACAATAGACGGTTATAAAAGAGGCATACAGATTTTTTGTTTTAATTCAATTAGCATTTGCACCATATATGTTCTCCCTTTTTAGTTTGTCAATTGTTTAAGCAAATGTGTTATAATAAATCAATTACTTGGTAATTTGGTTACATCACTGTTAAAAACGCAGAATAATAGAGGTGTCAGGGTAAAAGTGGAAATACTGAGCTCAAAGTCTGATGCCACATAGTTTTTTGCACTGAGTTTGAATTTACATTTCAGGTTCTTCTGCGCAGCTGCTAGTGGACGATTCTTTTCAAAAGGAGTTTTGGTGTATTAAGAAAACTATTATTTAATTTGTGGAAGCAATTTTTGCTTTATTTTTTATTTATTCCGTGTAATCATTTACCCTGTATTTGTTTTCTTATTTTTTGGTGATGTATAGTAGGCGATACAATACATGTTGTTATTAAATATTGTAAAGTATCTCATTTGTTTTTGAGTCTCAGTTTTTGTTCTGGTTCCTCCTCTCATTGCTTCACCTGCTACCAAATTAAATTATTTTCTGTCTTAGTGAATTAAATTATTTTGTTTATGTATTTATTTATTTTTTTGTCTGATCTTTCCCCCCATATGGAATATTACCATACCATACCATACTAGGGCATTAACAGAGTACTAGAGTAATCTACACATCGATTGTTAGGACATCTATCGAGGTTAAAAATGTAACATCGAGTAACCGTAGTGACGTCATATTATGTGACTACCGTATGACCGGGGGAAACAGTTCAGTGATTTGTAGACATACATGAGTATTTTGAACTGGATTCTAAGGTGAAATGGTAACCAGTGCAGTGAGGCCAAAACTGGTGTAATGTGCTCTTTTGCCTGTATTGGTTAAAAATCGGGCTGCTGCATTCTGGACCAGTTGTAGTCTTGCAATGGAGGTTTGACTGATACCAAACAGGAGTGAATTGCAGTAATCAAGCCTAGATGTAATGAATGCATGTATTACTGTCTCCAGGTTCTTTTTGGACAATATGGGCTTCAGTTTAGACAGCCGCCTCAGTTGGAAGAAGCATGATTTAACAATCATGTTTTCATGATTGTTAAGCTTCAGGGAAGGGTCCATTATCACGCCCAGATTAGTGACTCTTTGTTTTTCTGACAGGGTTAGAGCGGAAAGGTCGATACAGTAGTTTGTGATCGTGTCGTTGGGAGGGAACAACATGACTTCAGACTTCTTTTCATTGAAACTTAAGAAGTTTAAAGCCATCCAGTCCCTGATGTCAGCCAGGCAGTCGAGCAGCGGTTGAATAGAGCATGTACCATTGTGTCTTAGGGGGAAGTAAATTTAACATTCATCGGCATAGAAGTGGAAGGGCATGTTGTGTTTCCGGAAAATAGCACCAAGCGGCAGCAGGTATAAAGAGAATAGGAGGGGACCCAGGATGGACCCCTGCGGAACCCCCCCATTTAAGCTCTGCCTCTGCGGAACTAAAATCCTTGATGGAGACACAAAAGGCTCTGTCAGCGAGGTAAGATCTGAACCAATTGAGGGCAGACCCTGTGACGCCCATCCACTGCTCCAACCTAGCAATGAGGATCTCATGTCGATGGTGTCAAAGGCGGCTGTGAGGTCCAACAGGACAAGCAGCACAGAATCACCGGTATCTGTGAATCTGAAGATGTCGTTAAAGACCTTCAGCAGGGCAGTTTCAGTGCTGTGGAGAGGTTTAAAGCCAGCTTGGAAAAGCTCTAAGATGGCGTGATCCTCCAGGAAACACTTCAGCTGGGACTTGACTATTTTCTCTAGTACTTTAGAAACAAATGGGAGTTTGGAGACAGGCCGGTAGTTGGAAACGAATGAGGGGTCAAGGTTTGTGTTTTTCAGGAGAGGCTGGATGGCAGCATGTTTAAAGGATTTTGGCACCACGCCAGTGGATAAACTACTTTTTACTATATCAAGAATGGACGGACCTAGAGTTGGAAAAACCTCCTTTAGTAGTCGAGGGTGGACCACATCAAAGGGGGAACCAGAAGGTTTCAAGTTGCACATGACCTGCTCTAGAGAAGATTGAGTGATGGGTTCAAAATGGTCAAAAGAAGCTACAGATTGAGGTGGGATGGATGGGTCATGAGTTGGAGGGGAAATAAGAGCCCGTGTGGTCGCAATTTTTTCCAAAAAGAAATGTAAGAAGTTGTCGCACAGCTCAGTTGAGGCTTCCAGAGGTGGATGGTTCAGTGAGGTGGAGAACAGCGTTTAGGGTGGAAAGTGGAGAAGAGGACACGTGGGTTGTGAGAGTTTGAGGTAATTATATCAGAGAAGAATTTGGATTTAGCAGTTTTCACTGTTTTCTGATAACGGCGCCAACTCTCTAAGTATTTGAAAAGAGACCTGCAGCCTGTCTTTCCTCCACTTTCGCTCCACCCTCCTACATTGCTCCCTAACGGCCTTGGTAACGTCACTCAGCCAAGGTTCTGCTGAGTTTTGATTTTCTAGTTTTAACAGGCGCAACATGATCCCGAGTCTTTAAGCAGACAGAGTTGAACTGGGATGTCAGCTCCTCAGTGGTGGTGAGAAACACCGGGGGCTGAAATATTGTACATGAAGTACCATAATTTTTGCTGTATAAGTCACAGTTTTTTGCACTTATGCAGTAAAGTGACGTATTTTGTTTTATTTTTCACATATTTATAATCCAATTTTTGGCTGAGATCTGATGATGTCATTCATTCTGACATGGAAAATAATGAACACTACCATTTTCAGCCACCAGAGGGACCTCGACTAATATGTCAAGCCAAGTGTCTCATTAATAGGTAAAAGTGGCTATTAATGAGACGGTTCAACTGAGTCACACCTTTATTATAATTTCAAGCAAACAAATAACAGTTTTTAGGTGGTTATCTTGTTAAATTTTGAAGAATGGCACAGCGATTCCTCCCTCTGCGCACTCCTGTGGCCGCAAATTGGCTTTGAAATGCAGCTGATTTGACCAATAAAGTGCATTTCTTAAGGATAAGTTAGATTGAGACACCTTTGCTATAATTTCAAGCAAACAAATAATTGTTTTAAGTGTTAATCTTGTTAAATTCTTGTTAAAGTCCTCCCGTGCATGCTCCCGCTGCCGCCATTTTGCAGCCAATTGATTTTTGGCACAACACCAGTCCATATTTCCTGGTTGTCTGTGGTGACGCATAATAGATGCAACTTATACGGTCAAGCAACTTTTTTTTCCCCACTTTATTAGACATATTTGGACTGATGCGACTTAGTGCGACATGTACGGCATCAAGTATAGTAGTTTTTTGTGAACTGCATGTATGGGTAATATATAATCTGTGGTGATCTTTTGCAGATGTCCTCCAGTTGCTTCTTCTGGAGCTCCAGGTGAAAGTCAACCTGCTGCCACGACAGCTGCTTCTGAAAAGGAAAAGCAAGAACAAAGGTGAACAAGCACTCTGTTGAATAATAATAGTTGACCCATCTTTCTGTTTGTATGTTTGCATTCATAATCCTCACACAAACCTTTTGATAAAATCCAACAATTTTCAGTCAGGTCTGACTGAAAATTGTTGGCTTGTATACCTGGATTATTGCGCATGGACTTTGTTGCTTTTGATAAAATCTGGTAAACTGAGATTCTTTCCTCCTGACTCATGATTTTCTTTTTTTTTTCCCAGTATGTCTTGACTGCTGGTTTCAATTAGTAGAATCATCTGCACTCTCATTCATCCATTTACAGTCTTGCACATAAATGTTTCCTCACTTTTTTAATACCAGAGCTATAATTTAGTGCAAAACGAGCATTGGCTGCAGCTGAAGCGACAGACTTCCTGATAGTCAACAGCACAAATGGTATCTGGGTGAACAGGACTGTTGGAGCTGTGGAGACTGTTTTTTCGTCCCACAGAACTGTTTTTCTGCTTCCTTCAAAATGAAAGATAAAATCATTTTCAATACCCTCAAATGCTACTGTTGTGAAATGTGTAAAGAGCTACGGCCAGTCCATTAAGATTGTTTTCATGTAAATACAAGTTATCATTCTGTAAATGCTGCTCTACATTTTAAGGGCATTTTGCACCAGACTTCTCCGTGTGAGAGCTCAGCTGAATGTTGTTACATTGACAACTCTGTAACCACAACCCCACCACTCCCTCCACAGACTCTGCATCTTCTTCTTTTGTATTCCATATTGTTGTTGCTTTTCCATACAAAATATGAAATATTTATCAGGGCATTGAGTGTTGAAGGCAAGATTTAACATATTTTTGTTGCCATTCAAAATAATAGTTTGCAATGTTGTGCAAAACAACCTTGCTGTGGAAACTGTTCAATCTGAGTCCAATGGTAAAAAAAAAAAAATCACTGGTCTGAAACGTAGGAGCAAAACTAATAAAATCCAGGGTCCACAGAGACGTAAGTGTATTCACCAATTTGGACGTAACTCTATGCAGACGCTGCATGCGCAGTGAATGCATCTGAGCCTAGGGCTGGACGATGTGGCCAAAACTTTTATCACAATATATTTCTTAATTTCGGTCGATAATGATATAATTCAATATCGATATAAACAATATAAAAACCTCAGAAAAACTGTACAAATAAATTAATGTTCACCTTTTATTTGTATTTAGCCTTCAAAAAAAATAATTACTGTCAAATAAACATGAAACTCTCAACTTTGTCAATATTAACAGTTTTAGCTTTAAACCACAACATAACCCATGTGTTTCTCTTTTGATACAGCTGGGGCTGTTGTTTCAGGGACACGTTGGCTCAAACTTTTATTGTGCTTCATCTTCTGACTCTCAGCATTTTCTATCAAGTGGAACAAGTTAGATGTGTTCCCACTGCTAGTTGGAACGACTCTCCGGCACATTTTGCAGCACACGACTGAAACCTGCAGTTTATCAGATCTTAGAAAGCCAAACCACTTCCACACCGCCAAATTAGTCTTTCCTCTTTTATCAATTATGTCGTCTGCTTTCTTTTTGCTTGTGAAAACTTGTTCAGTCACATTCTGACGGTCGTGGGCACTCATTTTGAAGTGAAAACTTAACGTGCGTTGGAGCTTAGCCTAGCCTAGCCTGCTACCTTCTGGACTCGAGCTCTGCGTAACATCTACGTCACCACGCACTTATATTGTTGTGTCCCACCTTTTTATGTCCGGATTGAAACTGAAGCGGCCGCTTCAACCTGAAAAGTAAAAGAAATGCGTCAGTGAAACAATGTAATCATATCAAAATATCAAAAATGTGCTTAAAACTCATATCACCGTTATTGAATAAAAGTATATTGCGACATATATTGATATCAAATTATTGTCCAGCCCTAGCTGAGCCCCAGGGTTGCTAGATAAATTTAAAATGACTCATTTCCCCCCTCCTTTTCTGTGCACATGTTCAACAAACACAACACCCACCTCATCTTAGAATATATTTACTCAGCTCATATGACAGTTTAGGTCAAAATATTATCATTTTAAAGTATATAGTTCATAATTTCTTATCTGGCAACGCGACTGACATAGAAACAGCGTTACAGCTACAGCATTTTTCATGTAAATTTGTTCATTTTTTTGTTTATTACCCCCAATGAACATTGAAAACACTCTATATGTTTCCAGAAGTTGTTCTCATGTAAACGGGGCCTTGGAGTAGGTCGATCACTTTGATTTGGTCATTTTAAAAGGAGCTCATGGGCTGAAAAAGTGTGGGCACGATGGATCTTTAAAGGCTTTAGCACTAGAAAGGTAGTTGTGTGTAAAACCCAGCCCTTTTTCAATGATTTCTCTATCTGCTGTGTAGACCTGTCTTATTCCTGCTTTACCAGTTATACTAAACTTGATTCAAGCACCATCATCTCATTATGAGTCCGTGAACTCACTGGTGCATACGTGTGTGTGTTTTGACTCCCTCCAGATTAGAGCTCGGTCAAGAAAAGAGTTCTGTGGCCCCGGTATTCTGTTGTTACCTCAGCTTATTTTTTTCCTGCATGGCCAATTTCTGCTGTTTAAAAGTAGTGAGGAAATGAAGGAGCGAACCCCGGGCCCAGATTGAACCGTGCTGTAATCCTCTCCAAAGCTCGGCTAGCTCACTGATTGCCTTCATTTTTCAGTGTCACCGGCAGGAAAGCCAAGGCGGTGTACCCGTGTGAGGCTGAGCACGACTCTGAGCTCTCCTTCCAGGTCGGCGCAATATTCAGTGCCGGTAAGTGTTATCGCCCCAACCAGTCGCTCACTCAGAACTTGCTGTGGAATATTGGATTTAAGGGGAGTAAGGAGGGTGGGGGGACTGAGCACCCAATCTGATCATGGGTTGAAGGGAGTGATGAAGAGCAGTACAACAGAGAGGAGTCTGCTACGAGACACAGATTTGCTCTTTGGTGTCTTCTTGGAAGCGGCTTGTCTGAGCTTTAATCACTCCAGGAGGAAACAGATTCTGCTGTTAGTTTTTTTTTAATTTTTTTTACTGAAACCTCGTTTTAGTAGACATCTTTTTTTTTAATGAAAAACATATGATGATGTGGAAAAACAACAAACTTATCAAACTAGTTAAACAGTTTTTTGTTTATTAATGTATGTCCTAAACCCCATTTTCTTTTCCTGTAACTTCAACTGGAGGTTACCTTGTGTGTAGAACTACAATTAAATGCATTTCATGTGATTTAAACATACATTTGTTTTTACACCGATTAGAGATTTAGTCGTTTTTTTACAGTTTTTTGCCTTTTAATACCAAATCAGACTTTAAAGGAAGTAGCTGGCAGTGATTAAGTCTTAATTGTGTGAATGCTTATTAAGCACATTTTTTGCACTCCTTTCAACTTTTTTCAGCCTAATTCAGCAAAAATGTGCTCTTTCAACTTCCCTCTGGTAATTTAAGCTTCTTTCTGCTGTTTTAGCTACTTTTCAGCTGTTTCTTTTTTTGCTAATTTAAACTTTTTCCAGATAATTTCCACTATTTTGTGCTCATATCTGCTTCTTTCAGCCTAACTGGGCAAACATGTTCTTTCAGCTCTCCTGTGCTGATTTAAGCTTGTTCTACCTTTTTAGCAGTTTTTAGCTATTTTCGTCTCTCTTCAGATAAATTCACGTTTTTCATGGTAATTTTTGCTACGTTTATCCTAATGAAGCCTCATTACTTTCTGCTAATTTCTGCTTGATATGCTCCTTTCAGCTTAATTTTGCTAGTTTCCGCTTTCTCTGCTATTTCAGCTACTATTTAGCAGTTTTATGCTCATTTTAGCCTTTTCAGCTAATTTTGTGTTTTTTTTTAGTTTTTTTTTTTAGCTCATTTCAGCTCTTTTCGCTTCCTTCTGGTAGTTTAAGCTTCTTTCTGCCAATCAGCAAATTTTCAGCCTTTTTTAGCTACTTCCCTAATTTTTCTGCTAATTTCTGCTTATTAAAACATTGTTCCACAAATATCTGTTCTTTCTGCTTTCTTCTAATAATTTCAGATTGTTATGCTCCTTTCAGCTTAATTATGCTAGTTTCAGCTATTTTTACTGTTTCAGCTACTATTTAGCTGCTTTATGCTCATTTTAGCCTTTCAGCTAATTTCATATTTCTGAGCTCATTCCAGCTCTTTTCGCTTCCTTCTAGTAGTTTAAGCTTCTTTCTGCCAATCAGCAAATTTTCTCCCTTTTTGTTTTTTGTTGTTGCTAATTTCAGCTTTTTTTTTTTTTAGCTAATTTTCTAAATGTTCTGCTAATTTCTGCTTACTTAAACCTATTTTAGCAAATATGTGTTCTTTCTGTTTTTCTGCTAATTTTGGCTTGTTCTTCCATTTCAGCATGTCTTAGCTAATTTCAGCTGTTTCTCAGCAAGTTCTTCAGGAAGCGTTCACACTGCATTTTAGCAGGAAATGTAGTTCATCTTGTTAGCTCTAACTCTTGCTCGTTTAAGTGATGTTGATAATGATGAAAAATGTGATTTTCTATCAGTTTAATGTTCAACAATTGTTTGCATGACTTGTTTGGACAAACTCGAACATGATGTAGCAGTTCTTGAATGAATGCATATTACCTGCTGACCCACAGACATTTATAGGATCATGATCATCCTGAATATTGTAATGATGGACTGTCTTTCATGGCGGTCATATGGAGATATGAAAACATTAAATGTCCAGTATATATTAAAAATATGGCTCTGCTGCGTAGTCACATCCCTAAAGTCCATTGTCCTCTTTTGCAGTGACGCAGTCAAGAGAGCCAGGCTGGCTGGAGGGGGAGCTGGAAGGAAGGAGGGGCCTCATCCCTGAAAACTACGTGGAGATGCTGTAAAACCAGACCGAAATATTAATGGACACTTTTATTGCGTTCACCAATGATTCACAACAGAGCTTCTTCCCAAGTGACCACCATATTTTAATTGGTAAACCGTTGTCGACACACAGGTTTACACATTTTGTTCTGACAAGTGGGCATCGTGCTGCATGTGTGAGCGAGTTTTGTTTGTTTCAGTTAGTTTTGACAGCAACTTTGTCCTTGTAATTGCAAGGATGGGATTACACTTGCAATGTTTTGCAGTGTAGCGAGTGCTGTTGCCTCTTAATGTCCGAGTCATTTATCTGCAGCACCAGTACAGCGGGTGTCTGCCTGAGCTCACGCTCCTCTGCCAAGTTATCCATGGTATCCATGAGCTCAGAGTCAAAGGGAGATCGTCAGAAGCTGTAACGTTGAATGTCTAAAACACTTTAGTTTTTAACCGTCAAGAACATGATGCAGATACAACAGTTTTTATGAGATTACCGATACCTGTGTGCCTTAACCTATACCCCCCCCTTGTATCCCTGAAAATGAATTGGTGTGGCTGTTTTTACCTATAAAATGTTTTAATCTTCTGCTATGGTGAGAATGTTTAGTTATTAAAACATGGCACAGCACCAATTATAATTTAATTGGCACATTTATTGCATGATATTTGAATTTTATTGACACTTTGTACCTTTTTCGTTGTCTTTGTGCACTCCTTTACAGAAACAGTAAAGTCCTGCTCTGGTGCTTGATGCGCTTGATGTTAAACTAGCATCAGACAACATCAACAACGATCATTTCAGTAGATTGTAAGGTTCAAAACAAAGTATTTTTGTTATCCAAGCTTGTTTTTTTAAAGTTTATACTTGTTGTTGCTTTGGCTTTGCTGAATATATAAAAGCACTCCAACCAAGTAGAGTTTTGCAGTACCTCAAAGTATTGCAGTTTTGTAGCTTTCAGCATTCGTGGCCTGGTCGCTAAAGGTTACACCAAATGCATTTATTTTGTTAATAGACTAATTGTTACTTTTGATTTGGAATCGTTTTGCATGTATGAACGTCACATTACATTTCACTTCTCGGCTGTTTTGGTTGCGGTTTAGCACATTCTGTTTTCAGCTCTGGTTGCAACAAGATTAGACTGACTTCATGAATTGCTTTGAGTTCTCTTTTTCTTTTTCTTTTTTACCTCTAGTACCCTCTTGATTTATGTCAAATGAAGTTTTTCTTTCAGTCATTATAAGTTCTTGATTTAAAAGAAAAATAAAATGTATTTTTTGAAAAAAAAAAAAAAAAAAAGTATATTTTTTCCACCACAAAGAAAATCTACAGATCTCACTTATTTTGTGTTTCAACACCCCAGTGACACACGTCAGACTATTCTGGTTTATTTTTTTTTACCATGGTAAAAGATGTACCATTTAAATATGGCATTACTAAACAAATCTAAAAATGAAAAGGCATTTTTATGGTAAATCATGCTCAAGAGCCAGTCAGGGTCAGAGCGCCAAGGCTTTTATGGCCCCTCCTGCAGGTTTGGACCCACGGGAAGTGAGTAGGAGTATTGCAGTACTGCGGTATTGCAGACTCTGTGCTGGTCCTTTGTGGTGAAGAGGGAGCTGAGCTGTAAGGCAAAGCTCATGGTTTACCGGTCAGTCTACGTTCCTACCCTCACCTACGGCCACGAGCTCTGGGTAGTGGCCGAAAGAATGAGATCATGGATACAGGCGGTTAAAATGAGTTTCCTCTGCAGTGGACTCTTCCTTAGAGATAGGTTGAGAAGTTCAGTTATCCAGGAGAGACTTGGAGTAGAACCACTGCTCCTTCACATCGAGAGGAGCCAGTTGAGGTGATTCGAGAATGTCCCACTGGTAGGAGACCCTGGGAAGACCTACGACAGGCTGGGAAACCACGTCTCCTGGTTGGCCTGTGAACACCTTGGGGTCCTCTCAGTAGAGCTGGAAGAGGTGGCTATGGAAAGAGACGGCTGGGCCTCCTGCTCAAACTGCTGCTCCCGTGACCCGAGTTTGGAACAAGAGAAAGATGACGGATGGATGGATGGATGGATGGTGCTTTTGTGTTGTGTTCAAATCCAATGGTTGCTTGCAGCTTAAAAAAGCAATCTCTGTTTTTCTCTGCAGTACACATCACAGTTGTTTGGTGAAAATGCAATAGAACAAAACTGTTTTGTTGTTTGCACATCTTTTTTACTGTGTATGATGGGGCAAAAAAAAAAGGACAAGTCTCATTTGATGGGCTTTATTTAAAAAAAATCTACACACAAAAAACATATTGCACTTGCTGCTCCATTTCACCTTTTTGTCGGTATTTCATAAATAAGACAATGAGGCACCAACTACAAACCTTTGAAATGTTTCTGAAGTTTTGTTGGACGTGCACGTTGACAAAATATATATTTTTAAGACTATGAAACATTTTGTTTGAAAATAGCAAAAGTATAAAAAAGTCATCTCATTCTACTGATGCAAAAAGTGTTGTATATACGTTTTTTTTTTTTTTCAAATGTAACGAGACTTTGCCTCTTAAGATTTGTGTCTGTCTGCATGAATTAGCGAGTAAATGTAAAATATAACACCTAAACCCGTTTACATTTAGTTTTAGGTGTAACCTTGCACCAGCCTGAAAAAAGGTTTGTTAAAGGAGTGAAAGTGAACAGTAAAGTGAAATCTAGTTTTCTAGGTTTATGATGACTCACCAGTGGCATCCCCTATCCCACAGTTGAAGGATAATGGGTGAATAAAGTGTCAAATTCACAAATACTTTGAGCCACGTAGTGAATGTAACTCACTGTACTGACCTGAAGGTACTTCTAAAATAACTCTTTTAAGAGGATTAATAATAGATTGTAATCTTTTCTCAATTAAAATATCCTTAATCCACATCCTCAATGGTCTAATAATATCACAGCATTGCATGTTAATTCATTACCATCTCTGAAAGTCCTGACCTGGTCAACGACCAGATTATATGCTGACTTGGCTTCATTAGATGAGCTGATGCATGTGGATAATCACACGGACTTTCTTCTTGAACAGTAAAAGGTTGTAGCTTTGGTGTGACTTGCGTCATAGTGATGATAATATGAAATGAGGCGGAGCTAATGGGATAAGTAAAATATTTTCTTACACTTAACGCCCAAACACACACATGAAAAGTTCATCATCTCCTTTCTGCCAGAATGTTGCTGAATCACAACCACTGGACTGGAAGTGATGCTGTCTGCTTGCATTTCTATGTTTGTTTCTGTCCTCTTATCCTTGTCTCTCAGTATTTAAAATTTTTCTTTTTCATTTTTTAATGTCTTTTACCATAAACAAATTAATTCATTGCTCTTGATACAAATGAACATTAAATTGAGGAGAGTGGTGGCGCAGAGGTTAGAGAGGTGGGCCTGTGATCCGAAGATTGCCGGTTCACGGCCCGGCCCCGACAACATCAAAATTGTGGGTGGGGTAGATGAAACACCCACACTTGCCCCCACCCTCATTCGCCCCACTCTGGGCCCATGAGCAAGGCCCTTAACCCCCACCATGTGCTCCCTAAACAGGACTCTCTTGAAAATGAGTTCTCGTGGCTCAATGAGACTACCTGGATAAATAAAGGCTAAATGAAAAAAAAAAAAAATGAAAAAAAAAATTACCATGATGAAACCGTGACACTGCATTATTCCCTCAGTGAGGACTGAACATGGCAAAAGGGCCGTCTCTCACTCCACTCCCGTTTCCTGGAACATCTTACAAAAAGATCTGAAGCTCTTGACTCTGACCTCTTTCAGATATTTTAAACAATTATTAAGTTCATTGCAAAAATCATTGCAGACAGTGTTCCTGTTTTTATTATTTTACCCATTTTATAATGTACAGTAGTCCCTCGATTATCGTGGGGGTTACGTCCCCCCCCCCCCCCCCCCGCGATAGGTGAAAAACCACGAAGTAGGAACACTATTTATTTTAGTATTTATATTTTAAGGCTTTATAAACCCTTCCCACACTCTTGCAATGTTCTAAACTCTTCAACCTACATTATTTTAACAACATATGTATATGTACTGTACAGCACTGCAAAATTATACTCACCAGCTCTGCAGAAGCTCTGTTCTGGTCGGGCTTGGTTCCGTTCCGCTACCCTGGAGCATGATGAAGTCCACCTCCCCGTCCAGGTTGATGTGCACGTGCTGCCGTTCCAGGAAGGACATTCCACGTGTAAGGCTGCCCAGGATTGGTCTACCACCTCGGACCGGTCCAGACCAGCACCGCGCCACCAGAACCAGGCCTGAGTCCAGATCAACTGCAGCCCAGGTACTCACCAGTGGAGATACAACTTGAAGGATGAGTTCAGCTTCAGGATTAATTGCAACGTTCCTGCCAATTCTGTGATCTTAATATATGGCGTAGATTTGTGTTGCAAAACTTTCCCTTCATTTCGGCAGAAAGCAGCCACCGAAAACACCGTTGGCTTCTGGGTAGTGTAGTTCTTTTGACTGTCCTTGCAGTATAGGCTTATTGAAAGAAAATACAAAATGGCAGCGCCTGTCCAAAGTATTTTTTGGTTAACTTTTGTCTCGTTCCATCCCAATCAGTGAGTAATATTAATATTAAAGTGGACAACCGTTGAAAAACCACAAAAGAGCGAGTCCACAAAAGTTGAACCGCGAAGTAGCGAGGGACTACTGTAACTTGTTTTTATTTCATTTTATATCACTACTTTTATTTACTTTTCATTTTATATGCCTTTTTCATGACTGTTTGTTGTCGTGTGTACCTCTTCTGTGTTTTTTGTTTAAAACAGGTCTCTCTTGAAAATGCATCCTCCTCATGACTCAATGAGACTAACCTGTGTAAATAAAGGTTGAATGAATAACAATTGTGTGGCAGTTTTTGGACATTTGCCTTCAAAGGTGCCCGTTTGAATGGATGTGTGAGAGAAGCGGAACATGCTCTACTCACACAAGGAGAGCTGTTGGTCAGGCTACTTCTTGTTGCTCTCTAAAATACAGGTCCTTCTCAAAAAATTAGCATATTGTGATAAAGGTCATTATTTTCCATAATGTAATGATAAAAATTAAACTTTCATATATTTCAGATTCATTGCACACCAACTGAAATATTTCAGGTCTTTAATTGTTTTATCACTGATGATTATGGAATACAGCTCATGAAAACCCAAAATGCCTGTCCCAAAAAATTAGCATATTTCATCCCACCCATGAAAGACAAGTGTTTTTAATACAAAAAACGCCAACCTTCAAAATAATCTTGTTCAGTTATGCACTTGTAGTATGACATATGCTGGATATATTCATACTTTTTCACGAGTTCTTCATTTTTCTGACTGTGTAAATGTCGTGCATTGAGTTTAACAAAAATGTGACGAGAGAGA